CTCGCTACTTACTCCAAGCCCTCTGCACGGGGAATCGGAGTCACACCTGCGTTACTCCATTCCGAAACCTATGACGAACCGGCAGGAGCCGGCGGCGACCGGCAAGACAAACTCGGCTGCGGACCCCGGCCCGCCCCCCCCGCCCGGCAGCTCGTCCCCGGCACGGCACCGGGGGCACGCGGACCCGGCACACCCCAGCGCCCCGGGAGGGAAGCTCCGAGCCCCGCCGCTGCCGCCCCTCGCCGGCCGCGGGTCTACGGCGTCACCGCGCCACCCCGCCTCCGCCAGCGGGACCCCGCGGAACGCAGCGCCCCGACCCGCGCCTACCATCGCGGCTCCCGCGCTGCGCTGCCCACGGCTCCGCTCAGACGCGCCGGCGCCCCGGGACGGACGAGGCCGGCGGCGGGCCCGCCCCCCGCGCGCGGGGCGGTGCGGACAGGCGGGGCGGGGCGGGGCGGGGCGCGCCGGGCTCGCGGCAGACGGGGCAGGGCCGAGCAGCGCGGGCGGCTGCCCCTTCCTGGCCGCGCGGGCGCCGTGTCCATAAATGGAGAACTCGGCACGGCGCAGCCAATGGCCGCGCGCCGGAACGTCATTCCCTGAGGGAATCCCGACGCGGCCCCTCGCGCCCCGCCCGTTGCCCGCCGCCTTGCGGGGCCCGGGGGCACCGGCAGCACCGTGCCCTCCTCCTCCTCCCCCCCCCCCACGTGAACGCACCCGCGGGACGGCACGTCTCAGCCCGCCGGAAAGCACTCAACTTTTTGCCGCGTGCCCCTCGCGAGCGGAAAAGCGGAGCAGCTCCCGCTGCCAGCGCCGCTCCCGGGCCGCGGGGTGGCTGCAGCCGAGATACCGCAGCCGAGATACCGCAGCCCGGCGGTCGGAGCGCCCGGCAGCCCTCAGCGTACCGTAACTCCGGTATGGCAGTTCATCGTCCGTCCGCCCCGCCACCGGAGCGCTCGGCAAAGCGCTCCCAACAGGTGCACGGCTTCTTACTTTTGCATCATTCTCTACCGCTGGCAGTAAGCAGAGAGCAAAAGCCGCACGGCGCTCGGACAAAACGGGTGTGCCTGGCGCTGCATCGGGACGTGGGGCCGTGATGAAAAATAGTGAAGAGCCCAAGTACCCAGAGAGCAGGAATAGGGGAGAATAGGGAACCTAATCGACGTTACTGGTTTTTCTGTTTGCTTCAGATGCAGGTGTTTTTAATGCCCGGTTTGCAGTTGTGCGTAGGTACACACGGGCATCTTTGTAACAAGTTATGAAAAAAAAAAAGCACAGAAACTACATTGCAGAAGGACACTCAAGAAGTGTCTCAGCACAGGACAGCCAGCTGAGAGCAGTGCTGCTGGGGCCCAGCTGCTCCCAAAGCACTCCCAGAAGACTGCTAACAAAAATTTTAGGGCCAGAGGTGTCCTCACTCTGCTCTGCACCAACCTTTGCCCTTTGCGCACCAAGCACAGTCTATTTCACAATAAACTCTTCTCATGCTTTTAAATGTAGCGGTTTACTTCTGCTTGTTTTAACGATAAACACGGAATTCCCAGGCTGGCAGTACAGAGTGAATGACACTTATTCACCTCCCAGTTCAGCAGCAGGGAGGCATTTCCCTTATGATGCCCGCAGTGCGCAGAGCAGGCAGTGTGCCTGAGCTGCTCCAGCCAACCTGCACTGCGCTCAGCTGGGAATCATAGAATTGTTCAGGTTGGAAAAGACCTTAAAGACTGAGTCCAACCACAACCTAACCATACTGTCCTAACAACCACTGCTAAATCCTAAATCACGTCCCTGAGCACCACATCCAAACGGTTTTTAAACACATCCAGGGATGGTGACTCAGCCACTTCCCTGGGGAGCCTATTGCAGTGCTTAACAACCCTTTCTGTAAAGAAGCTTTTCCTGATATCCAACCTAAACTTACCTTGGCACAACTTGAGGCCATTTCCCCTCGTCCTGTCACCTGCCACCAGTGAGAAGAGACCAACCCTGCTCTCTCTGCAATCACCTTTCAAACACTGGAAGAGAGCAATAAGGTCTCCCCTCAGCCTCCTCTTCCCAGACTAAACAGGCCCAGTTCCTTCAGCCTCTCCTCACAGGGCACATTCTCCAAGCCCCTCACAAGCCTTGTTGCCCTTCTCTGGACCTGCTCCAGCACCTCCATGTCCTTTCTGCACTGAGGTGCCCAAAACTGAACACACTACTCAAGGTGAGGCCTCACCAGTGCCGAGTACAGGGGCAGGATGACTTCCCTAGTCCTGCTCACCACACCAATCCTGGCACAAGCCAGGATGCCACTGGCCTTCTTGGCCACCTGGGCACACTGCTGCTTCACATTCAGCCAACTGTCCATCACTACACCAAGGTCCCTTTCCATCAGGCAGCTTTCTAGCCACTCGCATCTGAAGGGGCTCCAGCAGAGCTAAGGAGGAGTCTGCACGGGGAGAACCTGCACACCACAGCCCACTGCTGCCTGCATGCACTCAGCAGCTCCGGGTGGGAGCTGGGCTCGTGCTGAGCGGCTACAGACCGAACTGTTGGCAAAGGTACCACCTGTGGGAACACAGTGGAATGCAGCTGCCCCTGCTCTTCCTTCTAAAGAGGTGTTCTCTGGCTTCAGAAAGAAGCAGTTCAAATGTGAGTGATCAATCTGGAAAAGATCTGAAATTGTAATGCAACAGGCACTGCCCTGACCTTTAATTGACAAACACAGATGTCAGTGAGGAAAAAAATAAAGATGTTATTGCTTTTTAAATACATTAGAGTAAGTTTTCCAAACCATGTATTCGTGTTCCATTGATCAAAATAATTTCATTAATCATTTAATTAATACCTTAAAGCCATACCAAGACATCATCCATGCAGTTAGAAAACCATTTCTATTTCTTAGAAAGATGAAGGATCTGTGTCATAGAAAAACAAATGGCATTAGTCTGAAGACATTTAACAAATTCATCACAGATATTTCTGCTGGATCCGCTTTCCAAAGAACAAACACAGACTTCATCAGTCTTCACATTTTCTGCTAAAATGCAGCTGGCTGCATCCTGCCCTCAGTTATGCTCTGTGGTGCAGAGTGCTACTCGCAGAAAATGAAATAAGGATTCAACTCTTCTTGTGAAATGCAGGGAGAAATAAATGGCAAATACAAAACAAAACCAGAAGGTCTGACATTAAATGCTGCAGTATCACATCAGTGATTAGGACAGCCTTTCCATGCAGGATGGCAGCAGTGAAACTCTCCTTTCTCTAACAACATTGTGTCCCCCCTTGCTCTGCTGGCCTCACACTAAGGAAGCACGCTGCTCGATGTGATTGGTGCCATGTTCAGGGTGCCCTCTGACACCTCACCAGAGGAGCACAGGAACAAGGCCAGCAGCCTCCTTCACCTCTGTTTCTCTGAGGAGCATCTCGTAGCTCTTTTGCTCTAGGGCTCATTAAGAGAAGCCTCAGACTTAGAGACTCCAAATTCACGGAGGTAAGTATTTCTCCAGCTGCAAACCAGGTGGTATGAATGGGTGTTATTCTCAGGGCTAATAGGAACCTTCAAGAAAACAAATCTATTTGTTCATTATCAATTACATCGAAGACATAATTACATCAACTACAAGAGCTCACCTCAACTACAAGAGCTTAGCACTGCTTTAGTTAAAAGCATCAGGGAAGTCATAGTATAGAAATAATGGTCTTTGTCAACACACACTGACAGCAGTTTCTGTACAGGTCAGAGGGATGCTCTCACCAGCACCCCGTTCCCAGCAGCCTGGCTGCAGGGCCTGCACTGCTGTGTGCTGCTGCCAGGACAAAGCCTGCACAGGGAGGCACTGAGCACAGGCACGCGGCTCAATGCTAACACCATGCTGCAGGAACGACACAAACTCTATCCTGTCTTTAAAACAAAATAGCCTAAGCTGATCTACTGTGAGTAATATTTTGCTTTTATGCTGAGCTCCTACAGTCACGTACATAGACAAGAGAACACAATATATCTAGGCAGTTCTTTAACAAGAAAAATCCTGAACCAGGTGCATGACAATCACACAGCTGTGTGCAGTTAGCAAGGCATTGCAAGGCTAGAGACAGCACCTGTGTACCCAGTGAGGTCAGCAGAAGGCCGGTGTTGGGAATTGACAACAGCCCCCACTCACAGGGAAACCCATCACGGGGCAAAGCCAAGCTCTGCACATTGCTGCATGGTGGATGGGCAGCAACATAAATGGAATCGGGAGGGGTTCTGATTGGGTGTAAAGGGAACATCCCCCTGTGTGCTGCCAGCAGGCTGTGCAGCCGCTATCCCTGTGGCTTTTAGCAGGAGCAGGCTGTGGCCCCAAGGGTGCAGTTATGTGGAACAGGAGCTGGATAAGAGCCCTCCAGAGGTGGGGTGGCACCATGTTGGTCACAGGCTGTTCTGAAAGCACCCATGGTGTGTTTTTGTCTCTAGCCCCTAACCCTAATACATATTGACCCCTTTACTTTAAGAACTGCAGGTTCAGCCCCTGCCTTGCTCTTTACATGGGTGCACACTCTCCCTGCGCTGCTTCTCCCATTTGCAGCATCCTTTTAACACAGATGCTGTGCTGCTGCACAGGGATTGCTCAGCCCACACCAAACAGCCCGTGCTTACCCAAAGGTGGCTGTGCTGAAGTCCACCACAGCAGCACGTAGAGCTGAGGTGCGGATACACCTTGCGTGTGCTCTGCCTTTCCAGCAGCACCTCTTGGCTCGTACAGCAGAGAGCATCTGTTGCGGGACACAAAGTTTCACTGCAGCTAAACGTCAGGACACGTCTAGAGACACATCGCAGCTTTATGCTCTACCGGGGTCTGTCACTGCTCCGGAGGAACCCCCCGCTCCGAGCGCCGCCGTGGGCAGGGCGAACCCCGCTGCTGTGCGCGCCCCCGGAGGGGCGGGAGAGCCGCGGCGGCGGGGCGGGAGCGGCTGGGGCGGGCGCTGCCTATAAATACGGCTGCGGCGCGCCCCCCGCCGCTCCGTTCCCATGGTGACGGCGTCCTGGCAACGGCGGCAGCTCCCGCAGCCCGGCCTGCGTCGGGTCCGCGCCGCTCCCCGCACCGGACGGACGGACAGGCAGACGGGGTAGGACAGGCGCTGGGGGCAGGCGCGGAGCGTCGCGGTCGGAGCGCGGCGAGGAGCGGGACCCGCCCGGCCGCGGGGCGCGGAGGAGAGGCGTGCAGCCCCCGCCCGCCGCAGCGGTGAGTGCCGCCCCGCCGGGCCCGAGCCCCTCGGCGTAGCCGCCCGCCCCCGCGCCGCCCGTAACCCGACGGTGGGGCCGGCCGCCCCCTCGGGCCGCCGCCCGGCACCCAGCGCCCAGCCGAGGGCGGAGCGGGGCGGGCCGGTCCCGGTCCCGGCCCCCTCCCCCGCCCCGCCCCGCACGGCCCGGCCGGAGCTCCGCGCTGCGAGGCCGCCCCCAACGGAGCCGCCCCCGGAGCGCCTTCTGCTTTGGGTGCAAACGGGGCTCGGAGCCCCGCCGGGCGCGCACCCCGCTCGGCTGCGTTTCCCGTGTGCCCGGTGCCGAGCCGCGCTGCCCCTGCGCTTCGCTTCCCTACCGGCGGCACAGGGAAAGTCGCCCTTTCTCGTGTCGACGTGACAAATGCATTTGGAATAGCCGGCAGTTTAATCGCTCCAAAAGAACCGGATTCATGTATTGCGATTTAAATGGCCACAGCAGTATGAAGCAGGAGACAGCACCGTTTACAGTGACAACCACGCACTTGAAGCCTGTATTTCAGCCGGTATCTAAGATGATCCCAGTTTAGCACCATTTAATTGGGAGCCGTGTGAAATCACACTCCCCCAGTTCTAAACTTTGGAACATTTATTTTTTCTTTGATTTGCTGTTTATTAGGCTAAATGAGAAGAAATATGGCATCAGTCCTGACAGCTTCATGGAATTGTTAACTGCAATACCTTCAAACTCCAATAAAGTTTTGTACAACTGCTGAACAAGACCTTGGTACATCTCCTCAGGATGTTGGGTCAGATCAAGAAAGCTGCCAATTGGCTCTGAGATTTCCACATGTACTGAGAGATGTGCTCAAATTAACAAAACACTGGGAAGCCCACCTGTGCACACTGTTTCTGCAGACACCCACGTTCTGCTGGCTGTCTAGTGGCAGTCTAGCAGAAAAAAGTGACATCTTCATGAAATCCTGTGCTTCCAGTGCTCCAAAAATGGTTGTCATTTGGTATGAAATGTGTACTAAAGGCCCTAAGATGAAAGTGCTTCAGTTGTGGATCTCCTGTTTTGCTGTTTTTTTTTAATAAGGAGTGTTTCACTAAGACATCACTAGATGTACCGTCCCCAACATCTCATCTTTGGTTTTTTTTAGGTAGTGTCCGGTGCCTTGCTGCTGTGAAATGCATAGCTCTACCTAAATCAGTGGGATATTCCCACCTTCATAGCGTTGTGTTCAACTCCTGCACTTCATCAAGATCACTGAGTTGTGCCGTGGGCCAGAGCACGAGGAGCTCAGAGCTCAGAGCTCAGAGCTAGCAGCCTGGGTCCTCAGGCTGCTGTGTGACCTCGTGGGACAGCCAGGCGCTCCCCATGGACTGAGGCACTGCTTGAACACCTGGGGAGCACGGTGTGCAGGAACAGACTGCAGGCCTGGGCCAGTGCAGTGCAATCCTGAATGCAGAAGCCAGCACCATGATACCCAGCTCTTGTACAGGGCTTTCTACTTACAGGCATGCAAGAACCTAAATGAAGAGGTAGGTGCTATAATCTCTGTTTTCCATAAAGGGAAACTGAGTCACTGGGAATGGAAATAACTGATCCAAAGGCATCAGGAATCAGAGAGTGAGCAAAGAACTGAAATCAGACCTTCTGAATTACAGTTGTGTTACTGCTGCTCAGCAACTCAGCCTCTATTCAAACTGTTTTTTTTTCTTCTAATTTGTAGTTTCTGAAGCACTGTGCTATAAATAGAACAAGCATACTGTGCAATGTTTGCTCTCTTTTTAGGCAGTGCTTTTAAAAGTTCCTGAAGCACAAACATGCTTGGCATTTTGAGATCTTGAAGAATAGTTCTATTACTTTTCTGCAATTAAAACTGTATGATTTTGTTTCAGTAAACCCATTCTGTCCTCTCTGTTTGTGCAACATATTGCATTAGCAACTGCAAAATTCTTTCTGCACATAAGCCTTTAGTTTTCAGTAAGCATTTAGGCTCAGACCTCCAATAGGACAGCCATGCTCACTCATGCCATCTTTACAGTTTAAAATATGTATTTGCTCTGTATGGGGTGGAATAGTTGGATTTGATTTTGTTTATAAGCTTTTTTAAAAAATTATTTTAATTTCTGACAATGGAGCAAAGCTCCAGTCCTGGTCTCACAATGAGATACCTGAAATATCTTTTTGAAGCTATTAACAGAGCTGCTCTGCTGCAATGTCTGAATGACTGACTGGCTACATCTAAAAATTAAAACAGAATTTATAGTCTGACTACGTAAGAATTTACTATATAAAGTGTGGACATTTTGATTTGAAAAATAAATGAATAAAAGGTTTAGTTTTCCTGATCTACACTGATCTCTAACATTTTACTGAGGTTTCCTGAAAAACACCTTACCCACAGTAAATTGCTGTCATGAAGAATTTTCATGTCATTCTCTAGCCAATGCATTCTTAAGCTTTACTATAATCCCTCATTTCTCACTTTTGTATTTGCTGATTGATGGTGTCTGGGACCAGCAGACAGATCTAGGACAAGAAGTTTGTCTCTGTCCTGCCAAACCAGTTCTGTGGGTTGAGCACATTTCAGTTTTAAAGCTGTCAACCTTTTGCCTTTTGCAAGAGTATCACTTTCACTATAGAAGCTTTTTAGTAGGTTTTAGTTTCCATTATTCTGTTCCTTTGTATCTATTTTTATATGCATTTATTCTATAAGCAATATTTAAACTCCAAGATCAGACCTGTCAGTGTAATCTTAAACTTTACTTGAAGGTTCGCTTCAGCAGGAGCATTAAGTCATTTCAGTGCCAAATATAAACCATTAAATAATTCAATGTGTACTTTTTCAACAGACACAAATTATTGACCAGAAAATGGCCCAACGAAGCCCAATCTTCCCAACTCTCGCCCATTCTGAAAGGTACAACTGGAATGTGAAAGATAAAATCTTCATATTGTGGAGTATTATGTGCCTCTCTTCCTCTCTTAATTGTTTATTTATGGTAATGCTGTAGCTTGGATCTTTGGAATTTCACATGCAAACAAGCTGAAATACTGTAGACTCCTTCAAATCATACCCAGATCACAATTCCTTATTCAGCTTTTACTTAAACTGGCCTGAATGACATTCTTTAAACTCTAACTGAATAGAAGTCCAAAAATACTAAGCTTAAACCAAAGTCTTCTAACAATAGAGAAAATGTGAAAGCTCAGAGGCAGAGCTGACTGACTGTCCTCTTATATCTCTATCAGTGTTATTACGGTGAAAGTAAATTGTCAGTCTGGTTCACTAGTAGAATCAGTGTGGACTATTCAGAGTGAATAACAGAGTTATGAGAACAAAAATCTCTTTCAAAGTGGTGTTGAACTTTTATCTTCTACTTAGGCTTCTGAAAATGTTCTTTTCTCTTTACAAAACAGGGAAAGATTGCATGCATCCACAGTCTATTTTTTTTTTTTTCACTTCAAGTATCCATGAGCTCCCACTGATTTCATGGAAGCTATGTAGAGCAGAGCTCTTTTGAAAAACATAGACCTAAATGTGAGCTTGCTTTAAAGGATAAAAATGAATGTGACTTCTGTGTCTGCAAAACTTGTCATAGTTTTGGTCTCTCCTCAGTTTCTTCACCTGTGTATCCTCCTGTCCTGTTCATTTGAGGGCAGCTGTATAGACTGCAAAAAGGCATGGACACAAGCTACTTCTTTTTAATCTTGTTCTGGTTTGCTGTATCTCCCTTCCACAGTTTCTGCTTTGATTAAGCCTGAATAAAGATGAAAACTGTAGAGACAAAAAGCATTACTTCTGAAACTCAGTAAGACGGTCTTGGGTTTGGGTTCTTAATCAAATTATAGTTCAGAACTGTAACTCTTTATAATGCTAATGTCTTCTTCTTAAGATTCTATGTCTCTGTAAAGCTTCTTTAAACTGTAGGAAAAAGAGCCTGACCTGCCTTTGTACGGACAGAGGCAGCAGCAAACAACATCCATTCATCTATAGCAGCCGGCCTTTGTAAGTGCTTTGGTGTTTCTCCCCAGTGCTGCCACTAAGATAACCTCGTACTGTCTCAGCAGAAAGATGCTATGGAGATTTGTGTCAGACCCAAATCATATCTGAACGTTCTTCTCCACCAGGCGGGTTCGAAACATCCCGCTGCACAGCCAGGCGCTGACAGCGGTGCCGCTGGCATCTGCGAGCCTCGTGGATCAGCTGGAGGACAGAATCCTCAGCCATGAGAAAACCACGGCAGCGCTTGTGGAGCACGCTTTTCGCATCAAGGAGGACATTGTTTCCACTCTGCACAGAATGCAGAACAAAGGGGGGGGCGACCGGTTAGCGAGGCAGCTCCTAGAAGAACACATCCGCAACATAACTGCCATCGTGAGGCAGCTCAACCGGGACATTGAGGTATGTGAGGAATTCTTCACTGGGCTAATACTGCTTCAGCTACTTAGTCCTTCTGATTTAATAACAGTTTACCACAGGATGAGAAAGTTCAGGCAAGGTCTAAAGATCCCGTAAGCTTATAAATTGTTTTTATAACTGTAAAAACGGTTTGCAAATTATGCAATTCCTCCAGTGGCTATGAAAATAATACAGGATATTAGCATGTAAACACAGAAATCTTTGTGGTACTAATGAGCTTGCTTTGAAAAGCAACACTGGGAAACCTTGGCAAAATGAATTAGCGTGGTACAAATACCCAGATCAACTCCAGTCCAAAGACTGCTGTATAAACACTAGGAAATGCCTTAGGTCTGTATTAAACTTTCTTTCACTTTGACTCACTGACAACACCAAGCAGCCCAACCCAACTGTTCATTTTTCTGACTAATCACGGCCTCTGCTTGATGAGCAACATGGGTGTGGTGGGAAAAACTGATGGGTAAATGTTAATATGTAAATCTTCATTCCACTGAAAAGTTGTATTTAGCAGGTTATGGTGTGGTCTTTCAGAATAAGAAATGTTAAGTAACATGGACGTACCTGTATCAGTATGTACAAGCCTCCATTAAAGTCATAATAAAATGATACCTGATTTTACTGAAATACTGAAAAATTATGAGTGACATTTAAAAGGTACCTTAAATTTAGCATACTGAATTTGTATTTGCATATGAATACTTTGTAGATGCTGCAAGAACAGATACGTGTCAGAGACAATCTCAGCTATGGAACAAATTCTACCCTAAAGAGCCTGGAAATGCGGCAGCTTTCTGGTTTAGGCGATCTCCGTGGAAGAGTGGCAAGGTAAATGTCATTACAAACGTATATTTTTGGGACTAACTAATGTTGCTTTAATCTTGAATTACAAATGTCAATGCTAATGGGCTGAATTCTACTTTGGCAAAATTCCCAGGATAATTTTGCTCGGTGTTTTCAAGAAAATTAACAGTAATCCTCTGCATCTCAGGATTACATATTAAACTTAACAATATGTCCCATAATTCTTGAGATTAATTTTTAACAAGTGACCTCAAATTCCATATAAATTTGTATTTTGTTCAATTTTTACAAGTACTGTGGTTAGACAGTCTTTGTAGTTTGTCTTTGAGACTAATTAGCAAAATTACTGTAAAGGAGGCATGGAACAATCTGCACTTGTAAAGAACATAATAGTTGCACATTTTGGCAGGCATTTTAGAAGTAGAAATATGTGTGTGAAATTATTGGTTAACCATATTAAAACCTACATAGGCCTGATGTGTAAAGAACAGACAGCTATAAAATAATAGAGGTTTGAGGGCTGCTTCAAACTCCAGCTTGCAGCTGTGCAATTACACAGACTTCAGGCTGAATTGTAAATGTGTTGGTGATGGCACAAAGTACATTTGCCTCAGTGTCTGTAAAGTGTAACATAAAAGATGGTTTAGCACAGCTATAGAAAAAGAACCGAGTCTCTCCTAGAATATCTTGGCTAACAACTTCACTGGAATTATACTTGTCCTGAGTTTGACCTATTATCTATAATGTACAGATAACTTCTCTTTTATTCCTGTACTTCAACTGATTCAGCGATAGCAGCCTACACAAATAATCAGGGAGGGATTTTCCTTGAATTTAAGTTTTCTCTCCAATTGTTCAATTGTTTTTAAGTTTCCACAGTAACTTCTGAGCCTGTTTTATAAAGAATACTCAGGAGAGGCTTAACACAGTCATTATGTGCCTTTTTTTTTTTTTTTAAAGTTATGCTTCACTGAAGTTATCCTTTACTAAACAGGAATGAACTAGATAAGAATTTTTTGTCAAATGAGAATTGATATAAATACACAACTCAATGGGAAATTTCATAGTATCATCATAGAATGGGTTGGACTGGAAAGGACCTTAAATATCACTTAGCTCCAACCCCTGACATGGGCAGGGACGCCATCCAACAGCACAGCTGCCCAGGGCCCATCCAACCTGGCCTTGAGCACCTCCAGGAATGGGGCACCCACAGCTTCTCTGGGCAGCAGTGCCAGCACCTCACCACCCTCAGTGGGAAGAATTTCTTCTGTATTTTTCATTTACATCTATTCTATTCTAAATTTAAAGCTATTATCCCTTATCCTACCACTATACTCCCCAGCTCTCCCATAGGCTTCTTTAGGTACTGGAAGGCTGCTATGAGGTCTGCCTGAAGCTTTCTCTTCTCCAGGCTGAACAACTTCCTTTCTCAGCCTTTCTTCATAGGAGTGCTCCAGCTCTCTGAACACCCTTGTGACACGTGAGGATGGGCATGACACATCCTCCTTTCCTCCCCTGCCCTCTCCCCCTTTTTTTTTAATATTAAGTGAGCCAAGACAGGCCTTTATGTGGAGCAGTGCACTTACTAATTAGCTTATGAAGCAAAATACAGTGTCCTTGGTTTCAGTAAGAGAATTCACATAAATAAACATGTGCCAGCATGAGCTTCACCCTGCATGGCTGAGCACTTGGTATTGAGAGCAGCAGTCGACTAGCACAGTCTTTGCTAAGACTTCTTCCTTTATTTACTTCGGGCAACTCCCTGTCATTCTGCCTGGGTTACAATTTATCTGACTGTTTTAAGAGATTACATCAATTTCCCTTGTATCAGACTGGGCAATGAATGTGGATTCATTTGTATTCGTTACCATAAGATAATTCACTTATTGTCTCTAACTGTTAGCTCCTATTCAGTATTGTGCTCTGTATTTTCCTTATGTGGAGAAGAAAATAAGTTTCCTTTTACCATACATCAATTTAAAGCGGTGGTCTTTGAGAGAAGGTTATTTGCCTTCATTTACAAACAGATTCTACTTCATACATTAGTATTCCTGTGATTAATGATTATGGTATATCTGGAAATCATAATCAAGATTAGAGTTTGTTGTGCTATACAGATATGCAATATAAAATTTCCCTCTGATAGTTTCTGATTACCCCAAATCTGTTATATAAAATAAGCCAAACTCACTTAATGTAATTTTACTTCAGTATTTAGTCTTGCTAGCTTTCAGATTAATTGGAAGAGTGAAACCTTAGATATGTGATCCAGTTACTGTGGGTTTCCAACTTACTGCACATCAGCTAACTCCTCTTCTTGACCATAGCCACAGTGCTAAATTCAACTCAGGCTGTAATGAAAGTAGGCTAATTTAACTCAAAGTAAGTCACACTTGCTCTAGGCTAGCATCATAGAACAGTTTGGTTTAGAACGGACCTTAAAGCCCATCCAGTTCCAAACCCCTGCTGTGGGCTGGCTGCCACCTACTAGCATAGCTGCCCAGAGCAACATCTGACCTGGCCTTGGGCACCTCCAGGGATGGGGCACCCACACTCCTCTGGGCAGCCTGTAGCATGCAGTGCACCACCAGTCTCTGAGTGAAAAATTTACTCCTAATATCTAATCTCAAACTCCCCTCTTTTTGTTTAAAACGATCCCCCTCTGTTCTATCACTATCAGACTGTGTAAACAGTCAGTCCCCCTCCTTATAAGTTCCCTTTAAGTACTGGAAGGCTGCAGAGAGGTCTCCCCAGAGCCTTTTCTTCTCCAGAACAGGCCCAGCTCCCTCAGCTTTTCTTCACTGGAGAGGTAATCCAGCGCTCCAGTAGTCTCTGATAACCCACACCACAGCTCCAAGTATACAAGCATAGAAGTATACACACGGACAATTGCCATGACTCAGTCTGTATATGCTGAGTGATGGTAAATCACCTACATCTGAGCCTTCGGATCCTGTAAGAATGTTAGTGTCAGTCTCAGGATTCTGGCTAAGTTTCAATTCCAGTGATTACATGTATACTAAAATTCTATTCAACTTCAGTACGAAAGAGTACTATTTATTTCCTAACACCAGCTGTTCCGTAACATGTCAATATCAGTGAGCAATTCTCTATTCTTGAGAGTTGCAGCTTTCAGCTATGAGAACGGGGATTCCTACATGCGTGTGCAGTTCAGAGGCACAGCTCCAACACTCCACTGCCCACGGCTCTGGAGGAGTGTGGCTGGGACAGACCCCACAGCTGAGCTCACCTGCATCAGAGAACAACTAATATCTCTAGCAGGAGAAGACCAGACCCACACTGCAGCTCATGTCTCTGAAACACTTCTCTTTAAGTATCATTTATTGATCATTTTGTACAGCATCATTATAGGTTTCAGTGTGAATAATGCTGTCCGTTTTCCTAAGAATCAGAATTACTATTAAGACAGAAATTGCCTCTATTAATTAAAAGCAGTGGCGCACTGAGCAGAAAATTGTGTATATGCCAATAAATCCATTACTCTGGCCTTCTGTCCTTGACATTGCAAGTTTTATATTAAACAGCTTTGCCATGCCTGTTTCTAGTGATAAAGGATCATTAAACCTGTGAGCACTGCCTTATCAAATCTTTACATAATGTCTTATGGACTAAGACCATTTGTCTGGAAAGTATGAATACAGCAGTCTGGTCAGTACAGAAGTTGGTGTTTCCTGAGGCTGCCTGATACCAGACACCAGAGAGATGGCAGTTATGCATGTTCACACTGGGCCTACTCTGCATATATAGTCAATTTTTACATACACTGTAGATGTGATTCATTTCAGACACCCTGGACTTATTACATGTAGGCAGATTTTCCTACATGAGAAAATGAGCCTGACGCATCTGGAATGCACCACGTTTAAGATCTTTGTGAGCAAAAAACCTGCTGCATTCTGCCCACAGGGAGGGTGGGTCTGATCTGCCAGGGCCAGCTATGCAGAGTCTATAGCTCTGCTGTTCCTGCCCAGAGATCGCAGGCTTCTGGGGAATAGATGGATTATTTCATCCTTCTGTCTTTTTCAGACAGCAACAAAGCGGAGACATTTGGCTTTTCTTGCCTTTCTAAAGAAGCTGCCTGATTGTAAGACCTAGAATTTACCACTATATATACCACCTAATCTGCTCTTACAGATACTAATTGGTCTTACTACGCTGAACTGCCAAACTATAAATTACTTTCCACAGGTTTTATAATTTGTGATATTTTGCTTTATTTGTTAACTTGATATTGAAGGTGTACCATCATAGTTACAGTAACACAACTATAACTGAGGTGTTGAAAACACACTTTGAAGTGAAAGCTTTCCAACTGAAACGTAGCTTAAGAGAAGTTAAAACATGTCATGGTTTTGTGTAATGATTTAACCTGCCATGGTTTGTCCCATTTACTGCCTTCCCCTCCCCCCCCCTTAAATTGTAACCACTGTCTGTTCTCCACCAGTTTCATAGATCAATTTTAGTAACTTTGGTGGTTATAAATATACACGACTCATACTCTGCAGGAGTCTCACTCCTGAAATTATAGTACTTCTATTTCACATCACAGTTCATGTCCTTATTGTATTACTGTAGATGAAATCCCCCTGACAAAAGTATTTTTGAAAAGCAGTGAGAAATGGACATATTTCATAGCACATTTGTTGTGAAAATGTTACAGCACTGAGAAATGTTCCAACGTGAAGAAAGGAAACAGTAATTATTATGTGCCAGTACTGCATTTTGTAGTCTTTAGTAGACAAAATTGCTTTAAATGGCAGCCCTACCTAAAAACAGGCTGTGCTAGTTAAACCATAACTTTTCATCACATTGTTTGCTCTCTATAATGTGTACTGTTATTTGGCAAACAAAAATCAGAATGTAAGGCTTAGTGGAAAACGGCTACAATAATGGAAAAATGATCTTCATAATCATTTAGGCCTCTATGTAGGGCAAACCATGCACACCACAGCAGATATCTGCTGGAGAATAACAGAAGTAATGAGCTATTGCAATCCTGCATCTTTGAAGTTCTAATGCAATTTCCCCACCTGTGACAATGACACAATTTACATGTCAGTACCAAAAGAACCATAGTACAGCAGGAGTGTGAGGAAGATTTGGGATCTATTCCCATTTGGGAGCAGCTTGCTGGATAGGGCGACATACATCAGCATTTTTACAGCCTCATAAGACAGTGTTTGCTAGACAGCCAGCACTTTCATAGAAATGCCTAATGTAAAATGGGTGATTTTAAAAGCCTGGGCCTTACATTCTATTCAACCGTTGCTTTGGTATTCATTTATTCGAACAGGTGTGATGCCGGGCTAGCCAGACTGTCTGCAGAGCACAAAATCACATACGAAAGACTTCAGAGCCTAACTAAAGACCAGCACACCTCTAAGTTGATCTTAGAATCGAAAATCAAAGAGACAGAAATACAGGTACAGTAGGGCTATAGTCTAACTCAAACAGATATCATTCCTGTGAATTGCTTTCCTGCCTACGAGGTCACAGATTCAAAGATGGGGGAGAGTTCTGAGGGGGGCAATGAGATGAAAAGGAACATGACTTAGTGGGAAATACTGGTGGTAGGTGGATGGTTGGGTTGGGTGTTATTGGAGGCCTTCTCCAACCTTGGTGACTCTATGCTTTATATATGCACACAGTGCTTAGACTGAGTACTGCTACACAGCTATGTTAATGTGTTGGTCTGACTGGAGAAGTCCTTACACTGCTGCCTTTTGCATGCTGTGGGAAGGCCCAGTACAGTGTACTGGCAAGCAGTGTGCTAGCAACGTATTGCCACGAGCCTTGTAGAACTAACAGCGTGCTTTGTAAATCTGCCACGGCTGCTTTGGTGGGAAATATTTCGTTAGCAGTCCTCGCAGCGCTCCTATTTTTATCTTGCGGGACAACACGTTTTTCATCACAAACCGCCCCAGCTGAATCACGTCGGAAGCGCCAGCAAAACGGGCCTTTCGATCCTCCCCTACCCGTGAGTCGCGCTGGCTGAGGCGGCGGCTGACGCGCCCTGTGTTCCAGGTCTCGCACCTGCTGAGCCGCGTGGAGCAGGCGGTGGCGCAGCAGGAAGCCAAGCTGAAGCTGGCCTACAAGGAGAGCGCGCAGCAGCTCCACCTGCTGGACACCAAGTGAGCGAGCGGAGCGGGGCCGAGGCGCGGGGCGCTGCGGGAGGCGGGGAGGAGGTCGGCGGGGCCGGGGGGATGGAAGCGCGGGCCCCGCTTTTCCGAGTGCGGTCGGTGCGGCCTTCCGCTCAGGAACGGGTCCACTGTCTGCACACGTGCGTGTGCTCAGCCCGCTTTACAGAAGCACGCTGATCTGCCCGGTGCCCCCTCCTTTCCAGTGGAAATTATATCCTTAACGTGGCTGGGCGCTTCTGAAAACCCCGTTGGGTCCCTAGGTAAGAATTCGGGCAGGATTGTATTAAAAACCAGCTCTGTATTTTTGCAAAAGCATCCCAGTACCTTTTCTGACAGCGTGCGAAGCAGTGAACACCGCCGTCCAAAGCTGTGCTCTGGCAGCAAGGAAGCTCAGTGCTGAGCTCACCGAGTGCTCCTGCTTTAAGTGACTCCAAAGAGAGAACTCAAATACTCAAATCAGTAAAGAAAAGTCAGTGTGTTACTGCCAGGCTCCATCTAGGCTACGTTCGACTCAGATACCAGCTCCCGTCCTTGTGCCTCATTCAGCCCTTCCCCCTGCCTGCTGACTGCCACCCCCATGACATCCCATCAGCTACTGCACTATGGCTATTTGCAAACCAGATGCGAGAGCAGATCCAGATTGCAAATGTTCAGTGGGAAACAAGCGTGCCTGAATGGATGGTAAATGTGAGGCAGATGAGGCAGTGCAAGTGGGGCTGTATGAACTGACACTGTTACATAAGAGGTGGTCAGATCTTTGTTCAGATTTGAGATATATGAAGATGATTGCATCCCATTTTCAATGCCACAAAGAATCTGCATCTAACGTACCTCAAAATGTTGTGATGTTTCATATAAATAACCGCTATTTTGTTGTGGTTTCCTTCTTTAATTTTCAAAACAATGTTGCCTTATCCAATTTAGTAGCTTTAAACTTCGAACATTTACCTTAATGTGGTGTTGAGAATGCAATAGCAGTCATTAAATCTTTTCTTATCATTAAAAAAAAAAAAAAATCACTGCTGAATGACTGAAACTTCTGCTCTTACCATCTCCTAAATTGCATTATGCTCTCAGATTAAAAAATGCTATTGAAGAGCTCAGCAGCCAGATTTTGTCTGCACGCAGTTGGTTGGAACAGGAACACGAGAGGATTGAAAAAGAGCTTGTGCAAAAACTTGACCAACTCTCATTGACTTTTAAAGAGAACACAGTAAGTTTCATCCAAATGTCCTAGTAATACTTCTCAGAAGTGTTCAAAAGCATGATGAGATACAGGGATGTTATTTGAGTGAGACTCTTAGAGCTCACCAACATTTGCAGAACTCTCTTTTCAGTGATGTCTAGTGTAACATTCACTGTGGACTGAGGGTCTTGACATAAATCTGACCACTTTCAGTACATCAGTATTTTAGCCTTTTATCAAGTCATTTTAAAATGCTTTCTGAAATCAATCTTAAATCCTTGCACCTTTAAATTCTACATAATAAAAGGTGCATATCTGGGAAAGGCCACTCATTTAATATGCATGCTAAATCATTATTTTCCCTGCCTCCAGGAAATGAGTGAAAGAGCTATAGAGATGAAATTCAACCAGATGTCAGAGAAAATCAACAAAATAGAAGAAATACAGAAGATAACCATGGAAGCACATGAAACACAACAGACTGAAGAAAAGATAAATATTCGCATTGGCAAACTTCAAAATGAGATTAATGAAGATATAAAAGAAATGAAAGCTGAAGTTAATGCTGGTAGGGCCATAATTAAACAAGATCTTCATTCTAAATTGTGGTAATGTTGACCTTTAATATCGTACAAAATGTCTGTGCTTGTACCAAAGTAGTTTAAAGACACTGGGCTGCATCTGTGGCATTCAAGAGGATTTTCACTAAGTGTGAAACTCACAGCAGCAAGAGGTGACATCTTATCAGCTTAGAATTGCTTCCCCCAAACCTACATTGGCACAGTTTGGCTGTGATCAGGGGCATTTTGCCATTAGTATGCCAGCATAATGAAAGTCCTATTTTTCTTCAGAACATTTGCCATCTTCCTAGTGGAAAAACTGAATACTGTGGTAGGAAGAATATTCTGTTATCAACTATACCATGTTATTACTGCTTTAGATTACAAACTAATTTATCTCTCATCTGCAATTAGGGTTTGCAGCTATCTATGAGAGCATTGGATCTCTACGGCAAGTTCTAGAAGCAAAAATGAAACTTGACAGAGATGAACTACAGAAGCAGATCCATCAAATGAAGCAGGAGGTTCCAATGTGGGGAGAGGCTGGACCATGACTGCAAGATTTTGACTGAGATGAACACTTACTTGTCTGAATAGGCAGACTATAGCCTTGTTCCAGTCTGTAATCCAAATTAAATGCATGTACTGAAGGACATGCTGCTGTTGCACAGGTCTGTATGTTTACTTTAAGTGGTAAATGCAAGCTTTTAATAGACCAATTGACAAGAAGCTTTTATGGGCTGAGGTGCTCATTTGCCACTGCACTACTCTAGCTGCTCTCAGGAGATTACCAACTGTAAAACTGGAGTAATACATTGGTGAAGCTGGCACCTAATTTGCTAACAGCGTTTTGTGCTCCCCAGTTGTGTAGGCTTGATCAGGCAATTATATGCTTATATATATAAGCATCTGCACCCCTGCTTTTTTTTTTCCTATTTATTTAAAAACAAAAAGACACAAAAACCCAAACCAAGTTGATATCACTTGTGTACTATCAGTTTGGCAAGGTTCTCCACCATGATATACATTATTGTCTTTGAAGTTGATGGACATTTTTGCAGTGACCTTCTCTATCATTACAGGACACTGACTCCTTGTGAGGCAGAACTGGCACTGGACAGACCAATTTTCAAAACACCTTTTGTTTAGTTGTGCAAATATCCTGCGTGCGCACGTGTGTGTAAACTAAATAGCATTATATAATGTAGTTGTAGACTAAAAATGATTCATGAACAACGTAAGAAACAACTTGTGGTCTTAAGTATTGTGACCTTTTCAGATGAATAACCAAGTGGACTTGAGACAAGACAAAAACATTTATATAACAGTATTTTTTACTTGGGCATGTGTTCTTGTGACTTGTTTATTTTATTGATAAAAGCTTTGAAAGGTTTGAAAACAAAAGGAAGTGATAATCTTACAGTCTGGAGAATGTGATGTAAAATAAAATGCAGTTTATGATCAGATTAGACATTTCTCTGAAGTTCAACAACTAACTCTTCAATAATTTAGTAGGTTTGATTTTGTAATTGAGTTCATGGTGTTTCCAAATAATAACGGTGCCTATTTTCATTCCCATAACAGATAACACACTGGAAATAAGCACTCATACAAAATACTAACTTATGTGGGAAAATACATATTTTGATTTGATATTATCAGCCACAACTTCATTTTCCATATCTTTTCAAATCATGTAGGATTAAGCACTCACAAAAGGCTTCATCTGGCATCCTATTAACTTGTACAGGTCACAGTAGTTCATATACAAAAATGCTATTAATTTATACAAGCCTTACTGCTAACTTGTACAAACTGATAGGATGTCTTTCAACTGTCTTTGTAGACTGATTTTTTTTTTCTGGCTAATGCTGCAAAACTAGACTCTTATGTGGCAAGTGTTTCTCCACTTCCACAAAATAATCTATGGCCCACAGACTTACCATAGTAAAATAAATAAAGGCTCTAAAAACATTCCCATTACCTTCACTAGGACAGTGTACTGTGGGGAAAAAAAATAATCAAGAAAACATGGACTAATCTGTACAAGATTACTACCTAAATTTGTATTCATTTCCTGTGTAGCTGAAAGTATTTTAATGCAAAGATACATGAAATTTTTCAACTCTGACTTCCAGTGCTCTCTGATAACCACACTGCCTCTGTTTTTGCTGTTTTGTACCATCCATGTACTGTGAAGTATACGTACAATGGCAGCTAAAAGGGAAGCCCTGTTCACTAAAGGAAGACAGTGAAATTCTCACAGATGTGTCTTGGGAATTGTCTAAAAATTAATTCTTTCTTCATGTATTCTTCTCTACTCTTAGATATTTAGCCAGGTGCAATGGCAATGCTATCTCTGGTGTTTTGTAAAATTAACAAAAACCCTGAATGTGTGAAGAAGCAAGAAGAGATGGAACAAAAACCCAACACTTTTTCTTCTGTAGTTGCAAATACCCTAGAGAGTATTGTACAATACCAAAAAAAAAAAAAAAAAAAGCATAGAGGGAAACAGATAAACAGTTATATATGAATTTAATAAAATGTTTCTCTTATAAAATGTTGTGTGATTCAAGGTTATATTGAATCGCTATGACCCTGCAGGGAAAACTCCTTAACTCCTGCTCCTTTGATGAACTCAAATATGTTATGCTGGAGATTGGTTTTGTTCCACATCCTTGGCTATGATGCCATTATTGCCTGAATTGCAGGATAAGACTGGAGGGTCTTCACAATTTGTGCTTACTATAAAGCTTAAGCAATATCGAAACTCATTATACAGTGAAGCAGATCTTTCCTCCCCCCAGCCTTTCATTTAATAGAAATTCAATGATGGTACAAAGGTGTGCAACATGTTTTCCTAGGGGATACATGGCTTTTGAACAAAGAATAAGAAAAACCAGAAAACCCAAAGATCTGCTAAGCCCTTCCAAACCAGCATGAGAATTTGAATCAGCAGGTCCACCTCTGATCCCTGAAGGAAAATTCCCTTCTCAAAAAACTCCCTGAGCTCAGGAGAGGAGCTCAGACAGCAATTCATATCTCACTCACTCCTTCCTGGAGCACAGGAGGCAGGTAAAACAACTACATTCTTCTAGGCTGACTGAATTCTCCTTACGGAAGAGTTTACAGAAGCAGAAATTTCAGGGGTGTCTGCAACTCCAAACCATGCTATTGTAGAGTGTCCCTGTTCTGTAAGTCTAAAGCCAAATATCGCATCAGTGTAACAGCTTCCAGCAGCATGAGATTAAGAGAGCAGATAGGAACTGCTGCAATGTACAACTTCAAATGATGAAATATCATTGTGATTGAAAGGCAAGACCTGCATTTCCAAGAACATTTCTGAAATCAGATGACTTTCTCCCTCTTCCTTTCTCTTCACCATTTTTCCGAAGTCACCATTAAAAATATTGATAATAGTGTAGCTGAAAGCAAGTATAAGTAGAGCACACAGTGAGCCAACAAATCCTAAAGGTCTAAGAGATATTATTTGTAAGTTTAGGTGGGATAGAAGAAAATGATCAAATGATGCCAGTACTTTTGATTTGCATTTTAGGAGCATTTGCTAACGTACTTGAATATATAGGGTTCAGCTCCAACTATTCTTAAATTAAAACCAAATCAACCCAAATGCCAAAGCAAATCCAAAGCAGAGCCCTTTCTAATACAACAAAAAGAACTGGTGCTATACACAGTGAATGGAAGAACTCTTGCTGAGCAGAGGGACTTCACATTTACTGCTGCAGAACCCACTGGCTATCTATGCCCTATCCCATAACATCACTGCTACAGAAGTTGTAGGGGCCAGACTAAAGCAGACCAGTTCCTCTCGTGAGATAAAAACCTTAGTTTTGTCAGCTCCTCAGCTCACACAAAGCTTTAAGCACCTGCAGTCTGCAGACCACAGTATTCAGTCTGAATGATGTGGCAAAGCGTCAGTGGGTAACCTCATGAAAGTCTTTCTAACCGGAGTCCGTGCCTCTTCCTCATGTGATACCACAGTGAAACTACAGCACTGTGCATCCAGAAATTACTGGAAAACAAACTGTCAGTAGTGACAGAATAGTTGTGTTATTTACACTCATCAGGCAAGTCAGCGATGCAAATAAAATTTAAAAAGACGATCTTGAATTCAACACCCAATTGTTTATGTAGTGCAGTTTGACATCACTGATAGTAATCAAACAGTGATGCAATTCAGTGGATGCAGTTTTGACATTAGAGAAAAACAGTGTGAAAGAAAACATACAGCAGCACACTCATGTTACACCAAGTCAAACTGAACCAACCTTGTCTCAGTTTCTACATTTCTCTGTTGGCAGTCAGCAGCAGCAGCAAATGCTCTCTTTATCTTCAAATTAAAGTGCTCAGAAGACACACATTCCAATTACAGAAGTGTCTAGTAAGAGACATGAAAAATGGATGAAGTCCTCCTACGCAGAGAGAAGGTGTTTCTCCTGTGACCTTCTCTGTAGCATAAGAAATCTAGAGGCAATTTCAAATAAATGCAAAGAAATTCAGTGCAACTCCTCTATTAAACTGGCCACTGGGTGTCACTGTTTCTCCTGTCAAGTAAAGGAAGATGCTGGCTTTACTGGGATGACCCCTAATAATACCACAGCTTGCAGGCTCACCTCAATTTACAAAATATTACTCATTTGGACAACTGAAAAAAGACATTTGGAACTTCCTAAAGTTTCAATAAAGACTGACGTTTCATTAAGTAGAACTCTGAGGGAGATTGGTGTGATCCTTTAGACCGTGCAAGGAACACCAAGTGGAAACCAAAGTCCTTTGCTATCATTTCTGTCAGCAAAACTTCAGTCAACAACTGCATTAAAAGGTAAGGTAAAACCAGATGAAATTTGCTGGCAGTTCTTCTCAAATACAGGAACTTAAAATCATACAAAGCTCAAAGATCAACATGCATTTCAAACAGGTCATCTCAGGAGCAGCTGCTGACACGCAGGGTTCTTATCCCAGCACTGCGTCCCCTCCTGAGAGGGGTTTTGGCACGAGGACCACAGGGTAATCCAAACAGTTGCTAGCAGATGATGCTCTGGGCCTAGTGCAAAACGCTGTTCTCAAATCTATGCAAGGATAATCTCAATGTAATAATATTGGAATAGCCTTAATTGTGCAAAAATACTTGGGAGAGCTGTAACTTTTGCTGGCATAGATCAGTGAAGAAAAAAAAAAAAAAAGTATTTTGAGTTCAGTGCAGCATCACTGATGCACACCAAACCAAGACCTAGTTTCAAGAAGAAAATTGAAGCTGTAATTGCCACAACACAGAAAGCCTATAGCAAAGCCATGAGAGGCATCTGGAACCCAGCCAGTTTGCTGAAGACAGACTAGAGTCAGGTTTGGTTAGACTGCAGGACTTGTACAGTCAGACACTGTATGCTGCATTAGATAGAGTGCGTATGGAAACAAGGAAGAGAGATTGAGGCTCCTTCTCAGAGACTGAGAAAAAGATGCCAACCCTGTACAACTCTAACAGCAATTTATACTGAGCTGATTTAGTACTTCACTCTGGCTTTTCCTGCATTTTCAAGCACTACAAGCATCTCAGCACCTGCCTGTTCCTGCCCATGTGGGTCCTGAAGGAAGCTTTCAGGAAATTAATACATGAAGAGATGAGGCCTAAACCAAAACACCACAAATT